CCCCGAGAGGGGCCGGGACAGAGGGCCTGGGGGGGGTGTCCCCGAGAGGGCTTACAAAAGCAGGTTTGATGGAAGGGACCCCCTAGAGGGGCCGGGACGGAGGGTCTGGGGAGGGGGGAGGGGCTCCCGAGAGGGCTTGCAAAAGCAGGTCTGACGGGAGAGACCCCCGGGAGGGGCCGGGACGGCGGGTGTGAGGAGGACCCAGAGACGGGCTTCGGAGCGCGCGAGTGGACGTGGGAGAGGGGAGCGAGCCTGGGTCGGGGTCGCCGCGCTGAGTCAGGGACTGCGGGCAGCGCAGAGCGAGGGGACGCGTGCCACCCGCAGGGTCTGCAGTCAGCCGACCTCCTCGAGGGTGGTGTCTCAGTGAGACGTGGGACAGCCCGAGCCCTAGTGAGTCCGTGGAGCAGGGATTATGTAATGACACCTCTCCCAAGTAGAACGCAAGGGCCGGAGGGTCTGGCAGAAGCGCACAGATGTTGGTGAGAGCCAGAGGCCGCCGGCCCGACCTCTCGTTGGCCCCTTGGCTTCCCATTTGTTTCTCCGAGCTTGGCGTGGATGCCTTGAAAGCGAGGGGCTCCCTGACCTTGGTAACCTTAAAACCAGGACATGAAAAGTTGGAGAGGGCTTCTCCAACTCACTACCAACCAGTTGAAAGGGAAAGGGATCCTTTTGGAGCCCCGTGTGGGATGGTGATGGTGATAGACCCTGCATGTCTCATTTTAGCTCAAGGAGGAGGAAACGTTTTTAGGTTTAGCAGCACTTTGGTATCACTGTTTACAATGCAGGTTCAAAGGAACCAGACACTAAGTTTTGACTGTTTAACTTTGCTGTGCTGGAGGCAGTGGGAAGGTCAAACTAAATTTTGAAACGAGGTATTGGAGTCGCTAAGCTAACGGCACTTTGCAATGAGATTTCTCATCCAGAAAAAGCCACCAAGACTGAGCTTCAGGCACAGTTCCAGGACTAGCTAAGGAGAGAGATAAGCCTATTTAAACCAGAAACTGCCCTGGTAGGAGGCAAGGGCGTACCTATTAACATGCTGAAACCAATAGCCAAGAGCCAGAGGGGGTCGAAATTGGGGGGCAGCCTCCTACTTTGACGGATGTGAAAGTTAAACTAATGACCAGGCTAGTCGTTCACAATACTTTGGCTATGTAAATACTGCCCTGACTGCCTTTCACGTGTTCCCTTGAACGCACACGACTTGTTACAGTTGTACCCAGTAGTTTGGCATTTGAAATTTTTAATCTTTTTCTCTGGGTGTTGTTCCTCCTCACCCCTTCTCTTTGCGACTGATTTCTGTTTTTACAGGAGCAGACTTAGAAACGGGATGGTTTGGGGGAAATAATGGGGAATGTCATTATCATCTCACGGTTAGATATTTTCTTTGTTTCTGGTTTAGAATATGTCTTATTAGAAGCGTTCAGGGGCACCTGGGTGGCTCAGCCGGTTAAGCGTCAGACTTCAGCTCAGCTCATGATCTTGTCCATCCTGAGTTCGAGCGCCGCGTCAGGCTCTGTGCTGACAGCTCAGAGCCTGGAGCCTGTTTCAGATTTTGTCTGTCTGTCTGTCTCTCTCTCTCTCTCTGCCCCTCCCCCACTCGCTCTCATGCGTGTGCTCACGCCCGCGCGTTCTCTCTCTCTCAAAAATAAATAAACACTAAAAAAAATTTTTTTTTAAAAAGGAAGCTTTTGCTGTGTGTAATAATTGGCTGTTTCAATGGAGGGGGAAGACCTTATTTCCCAAAGACATAATGGAGAAGGCTTACATAGAACTGCCTATTTAAATCCAAGCCAGAAATTACTGAAGTCACTGTCATCAGGGTGATAGTAAATAGAGGACCTAAGGTGTGTTAAGTAGGATTATTTCATGTTAAATTTATTTCTCCAGAACCCTCAGCCAAATTCAAGTAAAAAATAAAGTTCGTTAATGCAAGAGGTTATTTACAAGGGGCAATGTCTTCATTATGTAGCGCACATAACTTATGACATGGTCTGTGGAAGGACTGGGAATCTCAGTACCAATAATTCTACAAAGTAATAGAAATGTCTGCGCAGATAAGCTCTTTGATCATACTTGTTAGCTCATTTCTGACTGGTACAAATGGTAGCCTCTTAAGACAAAACATTTAATTCCTTATAAGAGAAGAAAGTGTTCTGATACTCCCCTGAGTGATGACCAAAGCAGTCATTTCAGCCACATTACATTATGGTGCTGATCCAGAAACCTCAAAGAGAGATTCATTGTAACAGAGTTTTTAGTGATAGAAAGGGCCTATAGTGACTTTTTATTCCTTGGGGTGATGAGTGGGTGGGTAGGAATTCTGTGGGAATTTATTTTCATTAATTTCACAAAATAAAACTATGAGAAACTATAAATATGTGAAGTCATTACACCTATGTTCATTTATACTGTTTCTTTTCAATTAGGGGCACCTGGGTGGCTCGGTCAGTTGAGCATCTGACTCTTGATTTTGACTCAGGTCATGATCCCAGGGTCGTGGGATCCACGCTGAGTGTGGATCCTGCTTAAGAGTCTCTCCGTCTGTCTCCCCCTGCCCATCTCTGTCTCTCTCCCCAGCTCACGCGCTCTCGCTTTCTCTGAGATAAAAAGAAATAAATAAAAATTAAAAATACACATGTACTGAAAAGAAGAAATTAAGAAGGAGCCTTCCACTTCCATATGAACTGTGGTTATAGCAACCACATAACTCAAGTCCTTGTTGGTCTGCAGTTCTCGAACTGTTCTTACTCTTTGTCAGGATTCAAGGACTACCCACTAAGTACAATACCCACTTTACACTTTTCTTTACCACTTGAGAGTACACAGTCAAACCATCGTCATCTCAGAGTCTGCCTTGATATCTAATTTGTTTTCATGTTTAAGCCAACCTGAAAAATTCTCATTGCTTGCCGGTGTTCATATTTGTTGGTTTCAGTAGCACAGGAGAATGAAAACTATTGATACTTTTATTTTAGAGTCTCAGTTAAAAGCCTCTTTCCTTCATAATCTTTTCCTCTGGTCTTTGTTTCTTCCCTCCCTGCAAAAAGAAAACAGATTGACAGGCAGAAAGAAAGTTTCTCTCTAAAAGTTTTTTTTGTGACTCCCCTAGAGGAAGACTTCTTTTCAGTCTTCAATGAGATTCAATGAGCTCATCTTCCATGATCCCGTCAACCAGAGAGGACAGTTTTGAATTAGTATTTTTGAGTTGTGAGATACTGTGCAGTTGCATTTGAGCTTAGGGAGTTTAGGTTGTGATTATTTAGCTTTATCATCCATTTAATTGGTTGCTTTGTTATTTATGAGAATATATTAAAAATTTGTTACCGTTTAGTAAACTCAGACTGAGAAAAAAAAAACAAGTGGTATCTATCAGTCTAGCTATCATTAAAGATATATTGAGTTTATGGGCCAAAATGTGATCTAACTCCTTTCTAAGCTATAGGCATCGAATTAAAAGCAACAACTATTTAGAATTTTTAGGATAACCAACAGGGATTACATTGATAAATTATCATTCCAGCTTTATGTTAAATTTACCTGAAAATTTTTTTAATGTTAATTATTTTAGAGAGAGACAGAGACAGAGCGTGAGTGGGGGAGGGCAGAGAGAGAGGGAGACACAGAATCTGAAGCAGGCTCCAGGCTCCAAGCAGCCAACACAGAGCCCGACATGAGGCTCGAACTCATGAACTGAGCGATCACAACGTTAGCTGAAGTTGTATGCTCAACTCACTGAGCCACCAGGCGCCCCTTACCTAAACATTTTATAAATCAACCTAACGTGTTTGTTTTTTTCCCATCTGACCTGAGATTTGATAAAGACATCGCATCTCAATTATTTCTACCTTACAAGAGAATGATGTAGGGTCCCGTTTCTTGATTTGTTAACACAGATCAACCTCCTGTCCATTGTCAGCTATTCCACACAGACACATTTTTCATCCCCAGAGCGAGTGAGAAAGAGAATATGCCTCGGAATGGACATTTTATTCCTAGGAAAACCTGTTCCCATTAAACAAAGAGGTGTGGCCCATGTAGCATTAGGTACTAATACCAAGAATTGACATGCTGGAGTCTAGTCTTTGGGACCCTTTCCACTTCACCTGTAGCCTCAGTGAAATAATGGATAGAAAATTCAACCACACGATGTACATTTTGTTACATTTAATATTATAGTGAATTATCAAAGTGCCCACTGGAAGATTTCAGTTTTATTTCCATCCACCATTTCTGATGGACAATGGGATAAACCTTTATTTCCAGATCAAAGTAAGAGTCTGGGCATTATGCATTTATTTTCATATGTTTTAGCTTCTAATGACACTGGCTTATGTCCACAACAATCAAGGCTCAGGACAATTCAAATAGATTTTGTTTACCCATTACAATAGATGTCACTAACCAAGGCAGAATGCTTTCTTAAATTTTTTTTTTTAACGTTTATTTATTTTTGAGACAGAGAGAGACAGAGCATGAATGGGGGAAGGGCAGAGAGAGAGGGAGACACAGAATCTGAAACAGGCTCCAGGCTCTGAGCTGTCAGCACAGAGCCCGACGCGGGGCTCGAACTCACGGACCGTGAGATCATGACCTGAGCCGAAGTCAGACGCTTAACCGAGCAAGCCACCCAGGCGCCCCCAGAATGCTTTCTTAAATAAACTAATAATCTAAGTAGTTTGGCAGTAGACACACAAAATAGAATCGTAGTTCATGGCCAATTTTCCATTCTGTTGTGAACATTCACCTTTACTTTTTGAAGGGTATGTGTGTAAATACTCAAATATTTGCAAAAACCACGTATAGTTTTCATTTATTTTATTTTTTAAATATAACTTATTGTCAAATTGGGTTATATCCAACACCCAGTGCTCATCGCAACAAGTGCCCTCCTCAATGCCCATCACCCACTTTCCCTCCCCCCCCACCATCCACCTTCAGTTTGTTCTCTGTATTTAAGAGTCTCTTGTGTAAAACCACATGTAGTTTTTAAATGATCTAGGTCAAGAATTAATAGCACAGATACAAAATTACAATATTATGCTTCCTGTACCCTTACGTTTCTATTGTCTCTTGTGTAAAAGTTCTCTTCTGTCATTGCATACCAGTTCCTTGTTGACACCTGCTTGTCTTTTAGCAGCCAGTGAGCACTTCGAGGCAGTTCCCCATTCCAAGTTTAGTACCAGGCACAAAGTATGAAGGATGCTCTATAAATGTGAGTTGAATGAGTGAATGGATTAATGATGAGCAAATTAGCAGATTACGTTTACGTTCACACTTTGTTTCTTACACACCGAAAGAGACAGGGATTCAGTTGGAACACGTGAGTGAATGTTAGCATTATCTATCTCTCGCATAAGAAACAGCATGATACATTGGAAGGAGAAAGGGCCTCACGCTCAGGGAGACCTAGGCATCTACTTTGGCTTTGTCACTATGCCAGCTGGTTTACCCTGGGTAAGTTACTTAAGTCTTAAAGCTCTCAATTCTCTCATCGGCCAAATAAGAATACATACTTCACAGTCTTCTTAAAAGGAATAAATGAAGCAGTTTACGTAAAGCGCCAAGCACACTGACAAGCACATGAAAGTG